ATATATTTACAGTAGGAAATTTACAAAATATCTTAATGGAACATGATCTTTACTTAATATCCTAATGATTTTTAGCATAAAAGAAAAATGTATAATTTTGACCCATACAATGTATTGTTGGCTATTGCTACAAATATACCCCAGCGACTTAACACTGCTTTTGTGCTGCAGGGTCACATATGGTGAAATATGATTTTGGTCATCCTCAGACACTGATTCTGTAAATGCATTAATCTCATTCGACTCAAAGCTGTGTTTGTCTCGGATCTCGATTGAAACAGGCACAGATGCAAGCATTCAGGGATAAAGAAGAGTCGATGTCATGAAGATCAGGATGAATGGATGCAGAAACTGAAGCATGCTCTGCTCTTGATTACACGAGAAACAGACACCTTCCTTATGCATGCATATGTATGATTTTGAATATCTCATATTATGTCCATTAACAAACGGTTTGTGCCAGTGCACTAAAACGTTTCTAAACTCACATCTTGAGTAGAACCAGTATTGATTTATTTGTCTATATGAAAATATATTCTGAGAGAAATACATTTTTGAACTGTTATAAGATCATACAAGGAATGCATTTTCAGATATAAAAATCACAGATATGTTTTGGATCAATATTTATTCGCAGTGTTTAACATGAGATGATGCATCATAAATCATATGAGACACAAGTGATGTGATCTCCGACGATTAATTTCGATTTTGAGCATTCCTGAACAATAAAAGCAGATTGTAATAATGTCTTTTGCAAGTCTTCATTCCTGTTTGTTACTCAGATCCAGTGTTTCTTTTACAAAATAACGTCCTTCTCACACCAAATGTGGAGCTAAAGGGACAATGTTAATTGCCACATTCAAAGAAAGATGTTAAAATGCAGGCTACATTTGTAAGTCTCTGGATAAAAGCGTCTGCTAGATGACTAAATGTAAAGGAAATTCAAGGGTTCACTTACTTTCGTGAATGATTACTCACTGCATGCAATAAAAGTATACAGTACAAATGTTATTAGTGCAGTCAGATGGTGTTTGTCTATAACACATTCTGAGACTAATCAAGGCAGAAATCCAGCTATTTCCAAGGGTTCACAAACTTATTCCTGCCACATTATACATTGCATTATAATAGCAACAATGAAAGCACAAAGCTGGCGTGAAGGTAGGTATAAACTAGTGCTGTCAAATTATTAATCGCATCTAAAATAAACGTTTTTGTTTACATAATATATGCATGTGAACTGTGTATATTTATTATGTATATATAAACACACACACATACAGTATATATTTAAAAAATATTTACATGTATATACATTTATATATGTATATTCTTATAGTTTATATTATATATATAAATATATTTAATATATAAACATATTTTCCTGAAATATATACATGTGTGTACTTATATATACATAATAAATATACACAGCACATACATATGTAAACAAAAACCGTTATTTTGGATGCGATTAATCGCGATATAAGATACTAGTATAAATACAATAAAAAGTTATTCTAATTATGATCAATATTTATATATTAAGTTTTAAAATTATTAACATTTTTATAAAGCCTACAAAAGACTGTTTGTTAAAGATTGCATAATTTTTACTTTATTTTATTTTCAAACACACACAGGCCTATAGAAAGATACATCAAAGAGATCCATGAAGAAAATGTGCGAATAACACAATTATCGTGCGCGCGTGTGACGCAAAGCGGAAGTCTCGTGGTCGCACGTATGTGACGCAACGCGGAACACAGTGACGTTTGGTGATTTTTCGGTTTAACACAGACCGGTGATATTTTTAACTGTAGTATTTATTTATGATTTCAGCCATGTTTGTCAGGCAATGAAAGTGCCGTTTATGCCACTCCGCCTTAAAGACATCGAAGAAAGCGGCGCTTCATCGTCAGCATTTCAGGTAACCGAGCAGATGATGATCGACTGATTAATCATCTCGTGAGATTGATCTATCGTTACTCAGCAGTCAGTTTTCATCAGATTCATCTGTTTTCTGATCGTGTCGGTGTCCTCGGCTCGATGACTGACGGCAGCTGTCGGTGTAGCTCGGTTATTAACTTCAGCAGAGCAAAATCAAGCACATATAAATACTAACATTAGTACATGCTAATACAGAGTGAACCGTGAGAACTAGCATCAAGTTGTATTGTTGTTTATTAGAATAATAAACGTTTGTCCAGTACATCTTAGTCATGTTGTCTAACCAATGTGCAGAAAAGCTGCCAGTGCAGGAGATGATATAGTCCTGAGAGATCTGGGCACAGCTTGGGTTCAGCTTTTAGAGTCTAGGTTTCATGATGCATTGAATCGAGTGGCAGATTTTTGCAGCACTAGCAGAAACTCAGAGAGGGAAGTTAAGGCAATGTCCCTTTGAGTGCTCTATGCTGTCAGTGTGAAACATGCAGGATGAAATAGTGTTGCCACTGCTGTAATCTGTGACCACATTGTCATGCAATTCATTTGTTATGAATACTAATACTCCATACAGTCAGTGTGACCCGATGCACTGCATTCTCAAACAGAATTTACTAATTGCAGGCAGTACAATTATTCATAATTTCTAATAGTTTTTTGTCTACCGGAAGTCACACTTATTTATTTATTTTTAAGTGCCATGGGAATATTGTGAGACATTTCAGTTAATATGTAATTTATTACTTGTTGCTAGTTACTCCTTTCAAAAGTAATAGTATTACTTCACTTATTACTTTAGTAGTAATTAGTTACATTACTTTACTTTTCCTTCACGCCCCACAGAAGCTGTAATTGTGTACCTTCCCCACAAAATTCTTCTGAAATGTTACTAACAATATATTTCTGCCTCATCATTTCACCAAAATCCACATTGGATCGCCGTCAGAAGTTATTACAGACACTCAAAGTAACTAATTAATTGTCATGTGTAGCTAATTGTAGCTATAATTTCTCTGTTATACCCAAACACGATTATATTCCACGATGTATTTTATAAAAATAAATCATATAAGTTCATAAGAAAATGTTTCATTTTCTAAAAAGGTTTTATATAATTCATATCAGGATCAGAGGGATGAGGGCAAGCCATGTAACACCAGAGTAAAGTAACGCCACGCACACAACAGTGTTCAGATCATCTGGTCTCTTCACAATATCAATGTAACGGCAATATTTCCATCCGCTGAATGTAAGCTTTTCCATATTCCGAGCTCGCCTGCTGCTCTGGAGACTTCATGTGTCTGTGCAAGTTATGAAAATTATTAAACTAAATCTAGGAATTACTGGATTGTTGGATTTTTAAATTAGCGGGGTTTTATGGATAGTAACTAATATTATTACTGAAATCTTAATAATTTAGTAATCAGTTATACTACTAGTTACTGCACGAAGTAGCCTAAGATTGTTACTGTAACTAGTTACTGACCAAAAGGCCACGAGATTATTGCCTTCTTTGTTTTGGGTCCTTTGATGCTGGCTCTTTCTACCATTGCAGATCACAAGGCATACCGTGTCATAAAATATAAACTGTGATGAAAGATGCAGTATTTTCAGGAATGCTCTCTATGGTGTGTGTGAATCAGTGTGGGATCAGCTGTGTTTGTGGCGATGGCTGTCCTGTTTGCGGTGGTGGCTCGAGGATCCACTGTCCTGGCTAAACACGCCTGCTTCTCTGGAAACTTCCTGGAGGTGACGGAACAGATCCTGGCCAAAATCCCCTCGGAAAACAACAGGCTGACGTATTCCCACGGCAGGTGCGTCTGAGACTGAGCTGTTGGGCTGTGAGTGTTCCCTGAGGCCCGCTCTGATGCTCTGTGTGTGCTTGCTGCTGTTTTCCAGCTATCTCTTCCACTACATCTGCCACGAGAGGATCGTGTATCTGTGCATCACCGATGACGTGAGTATCTGTGCTTCTGAGCTACTGATGTGTCCTTCATCAAGCTTTAATATGACTCGGGAACGACGAGGGATTGGCTCGCATGCAGGGCATCCTATTGAAATGATTAGTTCACCTCTCGAGTCGCTCGTTTGTTCCCATGGACACTATGCAGTCTGTGCCGGAAACAGAAATGATCAGTTCACTACTCAAGTATTCGGGTCTGAGTCGTTCTTTCTTTTGTCACGTGACCGGCTCGAAGACCTGGAGGGCAAAACATCCATAGAACTGCAGGACAAGCCTGTTTCACAGCCGCAGATATTTAGATCACCTCTCAGAAGAATAAAACAATGGTGTGTGAACAAAATGCAAGCCTGGTTTTCACTTAGGTTTATTTGTGTTACTAAACATATCAGATTACTCAATTGTGACCCTGTCTGTGAAATCCAGGCTAAAGTCTCAAAATCTAATTACGAGATAACAAGCATCAAAGTTTGATTTCAACCATTAATTCCACTATGATTTCAATCTTTGACATGGCCTTACTCAGTCAATATAAAAGATATAAAGGTTATATTTTCACAGAATGTTCTACATCTTTATGAAAGATGATTTTATGTAGAAAACAGTAAATCACAAAAAATGACTTTAGCTGGGTTTTCACAGGCAGGATCACAATTGTCAAAATAATCAGTAGATTACTTGCTTATTACCAAAATAATCATTAGTTACAGCCCTAGATTAGTTAAAATATTTCAAAACACAACTGCATTGTTTTACTTTTTGCAAATAAAAGACACATATTTTGTCATTGAGAATTTCTTTAAAATAGTATTAAAATATTGTCTCGTTCTAGTGAACCAAGTATCTGTATTTTGTCTCATCTCGTGAGCTAAGTGTATTGTCACACCCCTAGTTTTGATAAGCGGTGATATAGCTTGTAATTTTCCAAGTGTATGATATAGCTTTCATTCTTCAGGTCAACCATATATTCATGAAAATAAAAAAAATCAGTTTGAATAAGGAAAGCGATAGCTTTGTCATAGTATCCTTTCAAATGTTAAAGTTGCCACAGTCATTGCATGCTTTGCATGTGCTGCCCCCCGGAAAAAAGTTCAGGCTCAGGATTTGTTTTGCTTTAACCCCTGCATTGCGTTTATATTCCGGGTTCATCTGCTTGCCTGTACAAAATATACATCATCAATAAGGTGTTTACTGAATTTCGCCTTTTAATATCTGCGTTTTACTACATTACATTACATTACACAACCTTCCTTACAAACACGTTTACAGTTATGTGATGCTTTTCTGGTCTCAAATTGTAGCTTATTATTTCTCTCAATTTATACATTTGTATATTGATGGGTAACATAATGTGGCAAAAAGAGGCTTTAAACTTTAGCAGTATGATGAGGAAAATCACTCTGATAAGGCAAAGATACCTACATATAATAACAGCATGCAGTTATTGCAAATATGTAATGTTTGTATTTATTGTAAGATTATAGGCTACTGAGCCGGGAAGCAGGCACGTTACAAAAGAACAAACGACTCGAGAGGTGAACTAATCAATTCTGTTTCCGGGACAGACTGCATAGCTTAGTTTATGGGGAGGTGAGGTGATAAAAGAACAAACCATATGATAACAGTCTTATTTGAAACGTGTTGTGGACTTTGGCTATTAACATGCCTTTTAATTATATTCTGCTGAAATGAACGAAATGACTCGAAAAAGATTGGTTTATTTTGATGATTCAAAGTCAGTGAAATGACCGTATCTGTGAGCTGTGCGTCTCTCTTGCAGGAGTTTGAGCGCTCGCGTGCGTTCGGGTTCCTGAATGAGGTGAAGAAGCGCTTCCAGACCACCTACGGCTCGCGAGCTCAGACTGCGCTGCCCTACGCCATGAACAGCGAGTTCTCCAGCACGCTGGCTGCGCAGATGGTACTGCTTCATCTGTAAACACCACTGCCTGTTTATTCTGCGCTGTGTTTGTCTGTGTGGTTAGACAAAGAGGTAACTCAGTAGTGTATTGTTGTATGTTTGATCTACTCTCTTGATCGAAGACAAATTTCTCCTAAGGGAGATCATAAAAGAGAAACTTAAACTTAACTTAAACTTAGACAGGGGTTTGCACTAGGGCTGGGCAATTTGGCAAAAAAAATTAATCTCGATTTTTTTCAAACCTTTGACCGATTCTCGATTTTTAACTACTTGAAAATGTGACTACAACATGTTTCAAGTAACTTGTTCTGTATTAACCCTCTAGTTAAAGAAAATTATATTCCGAGTGCAGCACACATGAAGCTGTGAACATGATGTAAATGTTACACAAATCACTTGTTAAACATCTTTGCAGAAAAGATGCATGAACTATAACTACATCTTGTGCAAACGTGTCTTATATGTTCAGAAATAATACGAGGAAAATGGTTTAAAAAAACAAATCTCAAAAGTCAAGGTAATTCAAATTCAAAATGACTGACGGTATAACACCAGTAGACTATTATTAACTATAAATGTTCTGTAAAAACAATGAACAGCAGCTTTCAGTCTGTCGATTCACAAAGCTTATTGCGATTTATTGGATCGGAGGTGCGCTACAATGTTCCGTGTTTTGACTGAAAACAGGCTAGACTAATCGATTCTTGGCATTTAAGAATTAGGTTTTGTCAAAAATACGAATCGATTAAAATCGAGAAATCAATATTTTTTTTTACTCATCTCTGAGTAAGAACCGCCTTCTAAAGTCTCAGGATTTCTCAGAAACGCACTACATGCAATACAGAACATATCTAGAGCTGGTGGATGCAGAATACATCTGATCAAACCTCTTTGACCATCAGTTATCAGTTACGACATGCAGGTGAATCTACAGAGAAGCAGAGGCATACAGGTGCACTAGCTGAGCAAATGCGTACTTAAACTGTACTGTTTGTTTTGTTTTCAAGAACCATTACACCCCTAATGTACTTTCTTATTGTAAAGAATGAATTTGCAGTATTTGCAAAAAAGCTTTTGTTGCCTGCTGCTTGTGATTTTTCTCTACCACCTGGATGCTATCAAAAAATCAAATGTGTAAATTTGAGCCAAAATAGGATTACATGAAAGCCATTATATATGCATTCTATTGTAATAGTTAATAGTTAATTTGAATCACCAAAAAGCAAGTAAAATCGGTTGAATTCATAAAATTGTATCAACCCTAATAATTTTTAGAACTTTAACAGTGTATTAACCCTCTAGTTAAAGAAAATTATATTCCGAGTGCAGCACACATGAAGCTGTGAACATGATGTAAATGTTACACAAATCACTTGTTAAACATCTTTGCAGAAAAGATGCATGAACTATAACTACATCTTGTGCAAACGTGTCTTATATGTTCAGAAAACTTGTGATTTACAGTAAACGTACAACATTAATAGTCTCCTAGGAGCAGCTTCAGTGGTAATAATGCTGATGTAGATCCAAAATAAACAAAAAGTGGCGCTTCATCACTGCCAAAAATGTAAAAAAAATGTAAAAAAATCAGCTTTTGCTGCAACATGTTATAGGCATCCACTGACCCATGAGTCAGTTAAACATTGTGTTTTCATGATATTATCAGAAGGTCAGTATGTCATTATACACATGTGCTTCGCTGTTATTGCTAGAAACATCACTCGGATCCCAAAGGCTCAGACAGACTGACTGAAACACAGATGCATGTAGACGACTTGAAAGGCATTATGGTCCGGAACATCGGTGAGACTCGGTCACTTTATTCAGTTGTTATAAATGTCAGCGGTGACTTTTGAGTGAACATGTGCTGCGTTGTGTTGCTGTAGATCTCGTCGCTCAGAGAGGAGAGAGACTTGAGCTGCTCATCGATAAAACAGAGAACCTGATGGATTCTGTGAGTTTCTGTTTTAAACTTTAGTTTGTCACTTTATGGTGTTATGTATGCTGATGATTATTCCTCTTGTATGTGCAGTCCGTCTCCTTTAAAACTACGAGCCGTAATCTGGCCCACGCCATGTGTATGAAGAACCTGAAGTTAACCGTCATTGTCGTAGTAGTGGTGCTGGTAAGTTCTGGAGCTCACCGTAGATAAAACATCACAGTCCAGTAACAGACAACCCTGAGAGAAACACAGCAATAACAGCTGGATCTCAGTGTGTGTGTGTGTTTATCCTCTGATATTGTGTAGAAGAGCGATCCCCCCCCCATTTCAACCAAACAGCAGATGTTGCAATATACATCCAAAATGTTTCACGTCATGTCACTTTTATTTATATGGAACTTTATACAATACAGATTGTTTCAAAGCAGCTTCACAGTGATGAACAGGAAAATTCAGTAATACAAACTGAATTAATTTCTGCTGTAAAGCAGCTCAAAAAAGACTATGCTGTAAAAGAGAAATACAAATTAAGTTCAAAATAATCAAGTCATGTTCTCCACACTGTTTCACTAAATAAAACCCAAGGAAGAAGGATATGTAATACTTGCATAAACATTTTTCACTCCATCTTCTGCTGTTTTTCGATCCCGTTCTTTCTCTTGTTTTTGTCTCACTGTGTTTACTGCTATGAGCATGAATAAATAGGGATGTAACGGTATCAAAATCTCACGATACGGTATTATTGCGATATGAAGTCCACGGTACGATATTTATTACGATATTTAAAAAGAAAAAAGACAAATGGAGGATTAGAAAAAAAAATAACATTTTGTTCATTTTAAAGTTAAATTATTCTATCTAATGCACTTTGAGAGTTAAAAAATTAAGAGCGCCAACCCATGTTCTTAACTAAGATAACAGTGAATTGACTTGTACCTGAACTTTAAAGAGGACTCAACCCTCTTTTTATTTGTGATCATCTGTCTCAGTCTAAATTACATTCACACTGGTGTTTGAGAAGCCAAACTAATTAGAATAGAATAATAATAATAATAACAATTAAAAATACTGACTCCACAAACATGGAAAACAGCGATAACGGCATTTACCTGTTGTCTGCAGCCTTGTGTTCTTTTCTCAGCCTCGATGATATTGAACACTGCAAGTTGTCATAGAAGTTTTAGATTTAGTTTTTGTGCTCTTTTAATCGCGCACATTGTGCGTTTACATTCCATCTTCGTTATCACGAAACCCACGACACGCAACAAAAACAGCTCCGGACACTGCGTGCTCCATTCACTGGTTGTTGACGTTTGTAAATGCCGCGAATAAAGACATCGCTGTCGGTGCGAATGCAACCGAGAAAACGGCCCGAGGGAGAAATTGTTTCTTTAGGAACGACCCTGCTGGCTAGTTCCTAGAACTGCGCGGTGTGAAAGCCCCTAACGTATTTCATTGTAACAAGGGTTGGTGGCACTGGGTGGTAGTCATTGAGACAGCTCACCACTTCAGCACAAGGATAAAGATGGTGATGAAAGCAGGTAGGTGCTAGTTCAGTTTTTTAAGGAGGTGTTAAAAATGCACAAAAAGACGGCAGTCAGTGAGTTCTGGATTTCTGTCTGGACCAGCAGCATTGCGAATGTTGACTTGGTTAAAAGTGTCTTCACGTCTGCTACAGAGACAGTGAGACTGGTGTCTGCAGGAGTGTGCATTGGAGGATCATTATTTGTGACCCTGCAGCACAAAAGCAGTGTTAAGTCGCTGGGGTATATTTGTAGCAATAGCCAAAAATACAATGTATGGGTCAAAATTATAGATTTTTCTTTTATGCCAAAAATCATTAGGATATTAAGTAAAGATCATGTTCCATGAAGATATATTGTAAATTTGCTACCGTAAATATAATAAAACTTAATTTTTGATTAGTAATATGCATTGCTAAGAACTTAATTTGGACAACTTTAAAGATGATTTTCTCAATATTTAGATTTTTTTGCACCCTCAGATTCCAGATTTTCAAATAGTTGTATCTCAGCCAAATATTGTCCGATCCTAACAAACCATACACCAATGGAAAGCTTATTTATTCAGCTTTCAGATGATGTATAAATCTCAATTTCAAAAAATTGACCCTTATGACTGGTTTTGTGCTCCATGGTCACATTTGTATTAAAGATTCCCTTCCCCTTTATTCCCATTTCGTTCCATGTTTCCAGGTTGAAGCGCACTGGTTCATGTATCTTATTGCAGATTTCAGGAGTAATCAATGGTTTCTGGTTATCAAATGAGCAAACTGTTTTATTAGGTATGCAGTCTCTTATGTAGTACCGAATGAAGTGTGACCACTGTGGCATATCATTAGCTATGTTCCCATCCAAAGTTAGGAATTGAATTAATGTGCAAAATTGGGATATCGCGTAAAACATTTTTGAAGAGAACAAAATCGTCACTTCCGGATTAACTTTCGTTAAATATCACGAAGAAAAATGAAATTTGCTGCAGTAGGAGAAGGCACTGTATATAATACGTTTTGTATACTATAAATTACGAGCTTCAGAGCACGCAGACCAATCTTATTTTTGGAGTCTGCTGTTTGGGAACCCAGTTCTGGGAGTTAATTATAACGAAGCACTTTGACGAGACTTTGCTCAAGCATTTTAGAATGACAAAACTAGCATTTCAGATGCTGTGAAACGAGATCGGTCTGTTGGTTGGTCCAGTTTTATGCTGTCCCATTGCAAAGTCACATGTCTTTATTGATGCGCATTAAGGAATTTATTCGGTAAAAGTGTTTCCTCCATAGTTTATGCGCATGGTTTCTTGCCGGATAAGAAATTTATCCGACTTAGTTGAGCGCATAAGTTTTTTTATGCACATTTTTAGAATTTATGCATATCTTGGCATTTCCATCCAGCGTTTTTTATGCAATATCCCAAAATGCACATAAAAATAGGTGGATGGAGACATAGCTATTGATCGTCTCTAAGCCTATCCCAATCCAGTCTCCTCTCACACTCCTTCATGTGAGGTGTAAGAGTGCTCGAGGATGTTTAGGCCTCTGGTGAGGCAGGAGACATGTTGGTAATATTTTGGGTAAATATTCATGAAATTGGATCATCTTCGGCCAGCTATGAACACATCATGCCAGGACCAGCTGGGACTGAAACATGGATTTATCAAGAGTCTTTTAGAGTTGCTTTACAGCAGTCTCTGTTGAGTTTCCATCATTGATTCTGTTATTTCTCTGTATTGTACAAAGTATATGTGACCCTAGAGCACAAAACCAGTCATAAGGGTCAATTTTTTGAAATTGAGATGCATGCATCATCTGAAAGCTGAATAAATAAGCTTTCCATTGATGTATGGTTTGTTAGGATAGGACAATATTTGACTGAGATACAACTATTTGAAAATCTGGAATCTGAGGGTGCAAAAAAATCTAAATATTGAGAAAATCATCTTTAAAGTTGTTCAAATGAAGTTCTTAGCAATGCATATTACTAATCAAAAATTAAGTTTTGATATATTTACGGTAGGAAATTTACAAAATATCTTCATGGAACATGATCTTTACTTAATATCCTAATGATTTTTGGCATAAAAGAAAAATGTATAATTTTGACCCATACAATGTATTGTTGGCTATTGCTACAAATATACCCCAGCGACTTAAGACTGCTTTTGTGCTCCAGGGTCACATATATAAAATAAAGGTGACTTGACGTGATTTATGATGTTATTTTTGATCCACATGCTCACTTTACTGTACTTTTTTCCACAAGTGCCTACAGTTCTCCAAATGTTTTGGAGATGGTGATATTGCAGTTTGGTGTTTATGATGCTATCATGTATAAATGCCATCATGGGTTTTCCTTTATTACCTCCTGTTTTTGCATTGAACTATTGCAATGAAGGCTGTTAAATGTCCACTGGCTCTTAGTGGATATGCATGTGAGGAGGCCAGATGAACTTTAGCCAGTCATTGCTGTTAAATAACACGTTCTTCCGGGCTTTGTCTTGTGGTCTCAGGTGGTGCTGTATTTTATCGTGACGGCCGCGTGTGGAGGATTCAGCTGGCCGAACTGTCGGAAGCAGTAGATTCTCCCTCAGTATGTGAGCGCACTCGTTCTGCTCATCTGACTAGAGCCTCACAAACACAGCACAGCACTGAACTCCTGCTGTGTTTCCGGTGCTGTTCCAAACAATACTTCAGCATCATCGCCTTCCCATGTTGATCGCTATCGGATATTTTTGAGTCTTTGGGTTCTTTTCACCATGTTGTAATGCAGTTCATCTACATGAAGAATTTAAGGGGATTTATTCTGTTTAGTTTTAGAAAGTGCCATAAAAGTATCATAAAAGTTGTCCGTATGACTTGTGCACTGTATTCAGTGTTTACTATACAGTGTATACTAGCTTTATGTGAGGAACGAAACTGAAGTCATTATTGACCTCTTCATTATTGTAGAGCTTAATTCTCATTTGCTGTTGCATTTTGCAGACGCTGCACATGCCAGTCTGTCACATTACATGCGGGACACATCCAAATGTACATTTTTTAACACATTCATTATTATTATTAAAGTACAAATAGTTAGTTGAGATATTTAAGTACTTGAATAGTGAATTTCAGTTGGGTTTGTTTCTTCCACAAAGCTATTGTAAGACTTGGCATATCGTGTGTGTGTGTGTTATGGACTACTTTTATGATACACCAGTTTTATGATCTGTGTCCTATTTTATTGCATGGAAAAGCAGTGTAAATCATCCACTAACCTCCTCGGTTTTGTGTGTTTCATGGAGGAAAGTAAAGCAGGACTGGAACGACATGAGGCTGAGAATATGAGTGCATGACTTTTCTAGTTTTTGGTGAACTACTCAAGCCAGCGGTTACTAATCCTCTTCATAACTTACAGAGCAATGAAATAGAAACTGATGAGTTTTGAGAGCGATGACCTGGCACTTGTGTTTGCGCTGTTTTAATTAGGTTTGCTTACAACAGTCATGATATGTATGTAATCATTTACATTTATAGTTAGCTTACTAAATGTATTTTCTACAGAATGAACTAATGTCAGTCACCAAGATTGTGATTGATTGATTATTGAGTAGCATATGAAGTAGTTTGTCTACTTTACAGTAGTCGTGTGATATTGTTCGCACAGCGCAGAGCTAATTGAATTCAAAAACTGCATGTTTTTGGGTGAATCTCGCAAAACCTGTCAATGTTTCAGCCTAAATTAACGAGCAAATTATATTGTGCGTAAAGAAAATGAAGCTGGATCATGATGAGGCCTTGTTATTTTTCATTGACGTATTGAGCACATTTTCCTAAAATTATCACATGAAAAAGAAATAATGAATCATGTATAAGCTTCTAATTCTCACATGAAATACAACAGATACACAGAATAGTAAACAACCATGTATAGAAAACAGAATATAGAGCTACATCCAAGTATAGAGTGTGATGTGCAGGAATGGAGCCAGTATGTACAGGCAATGTGAATACATTTGAATTTACATATTGTATTTAAGCTTAAAGTGCTGTGAAAAGTTTGTACACCATAAAAAGTGGTTTTGTTTTCCCCCCCCAGCATATTGAGACATACAAAAGACACTTGGAATGTACATTTTGTAATGATGTGTACAGCTTAAATAAACAAAAATGCCTATATCATGTGTTGAAAAAGTTGGTACATCCTACATTGATCTACGCTAATTAGTCCAGTTATTTTTATTAATGTAGCACTTCACAAATTCATGTGATAAATATACATACATATATGTACAACATATGCACTAATTATCATTTTGTAGCAGTAAATGAAGCGGTATCATATTGATCACAATTGGGGTACCGCAAGGCTCAGCACTAGGACCATTGTTTTTACACTTCACATGCTACCCTTGAGAGATATCGCACAGTGTTAGTTTTCACTGTTACGCTGACGATACTCAGCTCTATATTTCCCCGATGACTGACGAAACATACTAATTAGCTAAATTACAGTCTTTGCTAACACACTATAACTGATTCATCTGGCCCAATTTCCCAAAACATTTATTAAATACAATTTTCCGGGTTTGCGTGTTTTCACTGTTATACGCTCGGGGGTGCTATTACGCATCTCCTGAATGAGTCCAGAATGTCCCGATCAAAAACACAGACCAGGAAGACAGACACGAACAATCTCATATGTAAGCATATGCATATGAAAAATAATGTGATCATCAACACTAACCGCATATAAATGAAAACTGCCTAAATGTCGATCCAGAAAGTGTTATAGACCTGTGCAAGCTTTGGGAGGACTGATGGAAGCCATCTGCTGCATCTTTGCTTTGATAATATTACTGAATATGATCCAGATGTAGTATTTGATAAATATGCAATTTTCTCAGGTTTTTGCTCAAAATGTTGCTTTGTTAATGAAACGTACCTAGTATCAAAGGATAGTTCACCCAAAAAATGTTTTCACTGTTATACACTTGGGGGTGCTATTACACATCTCCTGAATGGGTCTGAAATGTCCCGATCAAAAACACAGGCAAGGAAGACGCAGAAACGACCGATCTCATATGCATATGAAAAATAATAATGATCATCAACATCAACAATAAACCGTGTATAAGTGAAAACTGCCTAATGTTACAGAGTAAAATGTCTTTCGAGGAAGTGGTAAAGGACTGTGCAAGCTTTGTCGGTGCTGAACGAAGCGACACCTTTGCTTTGATTATTGGACTGAATATGATCCAGAAGTAGTATTTGATAAAAATGCAATTTTCTCAGCTTTTTGCTCAAAATGTTGCTTTTTTTTTTAATGAAACCTACCTACATTCAAGTGTTGATAAAAAAAGAATGCTTGAAGCTAGAATAAAGCTGATTTTTTTAAAGTAGAGGCTGTTTTTTATTTTGATGTATTGCATGTTCAGATATTCATAAAACTAAATATTCTGGGGGCCGTGAAATTTTAGTGAAAATCATCAAAAATGCTGGCGGTGGCTGGCAACTTTTTTCAAAAATGCTGGTGGGGAAAGAGTTAATTCAGAGAAAACAGAGGTGTTAATTATTGGACTAAAAGTCTTCATATGTAATAAACTAAAATACTAACTCTTGATGTCTGCTCAGTCAGGTCTTCATCATCAGGTAGGAATCTGGGTGTGCTACTTGATAGCTATTTGTCATTTGAAAGCCACATTTCTAGCATTTGTAAAACCTGTTTTTCTATCTTAACTCTTTCCCCTCGGGCATTTTTTTTTTTTTTAAGTTGCCAGTCACTGGCAGAATGTTTTCATTTTTCACAAAGCTCTCATGGCCCCTAGAATATTTGTTGTATGAATATCTGAACATGCAGTAAGTCAAAAGAAAGAGCACAGCCTTCTCTCTTAAACAAACCCCATTTTATTCTAGTTTAATGCATTCTTTTTCATGCAATATTGAAGTGTTTCACCAATGCCTTTCTTTCATAATTTTATCATTCTTGTACATCTTTATTTAAAAATATAAAAAAGTTCATCTTCAGAGGCTATTTTTAACCCCCAAAATGTTCTTATGTTTTTAGAAATTAGTATAAAGCACAAGTGCATGAAGTGATGATTAAAGCTATGCTGAAAATCATAATTTCACATAAATGTATTGTTATATAACAGCGGGAAACATTCAGTGCAATCAGAGGCGTCATGCCCATTCAAAGTGCCCCCTCAGATTTTTGAGCCAAGTGGATTTTGAATGCAGCTTCCAAAAGACAAAAAATAGCCTATTAATATTTTCTGTATTTAATACAATCACACCGGCGTGATTAGACCGTTCAGCGCGTCATATCATCAGCTGCTAAAAGCATTTTTATAGAAATTGGCAAATAAAATCAATAAATCCTGCATAAATCTGAAAATGGCCACACAAAAACGAAGGCCTGATACTAGAGACAAATGTAATGTGGAACGAGCATACTCACTCACGTACATACACACACACACACACACCATTCATACAAATACCTCAAACAACAAAAACAAATTCTAACCTTTGAGAAAAATACTGTTTTTAATGTATTTTATAATGTTTAAGCATATATTTGCAAAATATATCTCAGAAAAGTTGTGAGAGTAGCAGTTAGCCACTTCCAGAAAAATGAATGGATCTCTATGGGCCTCTGCTGGATATATATGTTCATTACACTCTTTTTTTTTTAAAAACTGTAATTTCTACAAGTTTTTCTCTAACCAGCAGATGGCAGAATTCTACACCTAACACCTAGATCAATATCCAGAAACAACTTAAATCAGATTTAGATAATTTAAATGATTTTTTCATGAAAATGTAATATTTCACATGCAAGCTAATGGTGTAGTTGAGGATTTTTGTGGTAAATAGGTACAAAAGTACTTCTCATCTGTACATTAAAGCTGTGTTTTGGGAGATATGAAGTAAACAAAACAAAACAAAAAAAGATATATTATTTGTATGATTAAAAATTTATATTTTTTTTACAATTACTCTAATGGTATTGAGTCAATATGACCCCAAAATTGATAGTGTAAACAGGAAATGAGAACCATATGAGGGTTAAGTCACATGACATTTGCATGTTTATCCAAAACACTTCATTCCCACCTGCTGAAGTGCTCCAGAAATTGCTCTATTAACCTCATCTCTACACATCTCTTCTCAAGGAGGATTAGATATTTTTATTCACAATTTAACTTGATCTAACATAGTTTTACTGTAAATTGAGAAAATATGAATGTTTCCATACGGCAACGCTGTACCTCAGTGGAGTTGCAGTCATGTATTTCCCCATTGGGATTTTTTATAGATAGTAGCATCAATGATAGGATTGCAGTTATTTATTTATTTGAAGTGTTTATTGCAGTGTAGTTGAATTCATAACAGAATTATTTCTTCTTTTCAGAAAATGAATAAAGCAATATTTTACAGAAAGTCCAATAGGAAGAGTGCAGAGTTAGCTCTTCCATGCGATGAGAGCGAGGATGAGTTCAATGATAGGGATCTACTCGTTTTTGGTTTGCATGAGTTCGGACTATATACATCTGTCAATTTCTAAAAGAAATGTGCATTTAAATAGAAAAGAAACTCTGCTTTTTTTTTTTTTACCATTTTCCACTGTGGTACAGCGTTGCCATAGCAACGTTTCCCAAGCTGTTGATTTCATCTGGTTTGCTGATGTTGCACTCAATCATGACAATGAAATCACAGAAGAAAATCATCGTGTCAATAATGTTCTTTAATGTCAATATGTACATCACCTGAAAGAAAAATAAAATTTTAAAAATAAGTGAAATAAATACAATATGATACAATTTCCACAATGTCTTTAAAAAGTTTTATGGAATATTTTTTTCCCTCCATCTGGAGCAGAGAGATGCGATTTCGTGGATCCAATCTCATCTACATCTTCATTCACCTCATTCGACTTTATAAATATAGATTTATTTCTCCACCTTTTGCTCATGTACTTCCCATTCAACAAAAGGCAAAGAGCGGTCCGAGACGGGAACAGACGAGCCTCAGTGCAAATGTGCTCAGGGATCCTCACAAACACATGATGAACGAGACTATATACACTGAGTGCTTCTGAGGTAATGCCATGTGGTCCGCAACACTAACGGGACATGAAGGGGCTCACAGATGGAGAACGAGAGAAACGCGCAGGTCAGAACCGTATCGTGCCTGTTTTAGGACCGTTAAGATGCTTCTGCACGGTAACACTGTTGACAGTTCACCTCATTTTAGGCGTATTCATCCAATTCTCATCTCATCTGCTTCTCATACACTAAAAGGTGAAGTCCACTTCCAGAATACAAATTTCCTGATCATTTACTCAGCCCCATGTCATCCAAGATGTTCATGTCGCGGTGTCTTCAGTCGCAAAGAAATTAAGATTTTTGAGGAAAACACTTCAGGATTTTTCTCCATATAGTGGACTTCAATGGTGCTCAACGGGTTAAAGGTCCAAAATGCAGTTTCAGTGCAGCTTCAAAGAGATCTACACTAGACAAACGATTGGTTATAAATATGAATTCTTTCAGAAAATAACCAATCGTTTGGCTAGATAAGGCCCTAGATAAGTGTAGAGCTCTTTGAAGCTGCACTGAAACTGCATTTTGAACCTTTAACCCGTTAAGCACCATTGAAGTCCACTATATGGAGAAAAATCCTGCAGTGTTTTCCTCAAAAATCTTAATTTCTTTGCAACTGAAGACACCGACATGAACATCTTGGATGACGTGGCTGAGTAAATGAGGAAATTTGTATTCTGGAAGTGAACTAATCGTTTGAAGTGGGAAAACTAGACATCATTTCACATGTGAAGTACTCAGAAGAAGGTTGTATTTCCTGTAGCACACACTGGAGAATTGAGCCAAGATAAATCCTGATATTAATAGGAAATCTGTGAGAAAAGGGCTTGTTCTTAATGGTCCTACAAACAGGCTCTATATGATGTGGAGATTTCTTCAGGAGATCTGGGTGTGGAGGGCAAGAGCGTCCGAGCGGCTCGCTAACACGGGATGAGAGATGGAGCTGGTGTTCTTCCCTCTACCAGAGAGAAGCAGAAGGGCGCTCCTGAAGAGAACGCCGAGCTCCTCAGGACATGTCTGCAGACGTCAGCTTCTTCATGTTCCTGCGCTGGGCCAGACTGGAGGCAGCCACCGGCTCCAGAACCGGCTTACACGTCTTGTGGTTCAGAGCCGAGTACGTGGCGGCCATCGCTCCCTACGAGACACACCACACACTCATACTCCATATATGCCAAAACATTCAAATCTACAGGTTTCAGAACGTTTATTCTCGATTTTTAACTACTTGAAAATGTGACTACAACATGATTCAAGTAACTTGTTCTGTATTAACCCTCTAGTTAAAGAAAATTATATTCCGAGTGCAGCACATGATGTGAATGTTACACAAATCACTTGTTAAATATCTTTGCAGAAAAGATGCATGAACTACAACTACATCTTGTGCAAACTTGTCTTATACATATTATATGTGAGTGTGAGACTCGTGCAGAAATCAACAGCACTCGCAGAAAATTATAGACGCATAATGCGGTAGTAAAAAAATATATTTATAATATATAATTATGTTAAGCAGCATTAGCCTACACGAACAAGATGTTTCCCCGAATATCAAAACGATTGCAATGTGACACTGATTTTATATAATAGTAGTTAAAATTAGATTACATTTTAGACATAATATTGACTGGTTTTGCTCAATTTCGCAGACAAAAATCGGCCCGATCAAAGCCACAGCAGAACTGTTGTGTGTCTCCGAGTAACACAGCGGTGTTTCGTTACTGAATGAATCCACGCTTTTGAACGAATCGAGCGAGTCAATGATTCAGTGGCCCATTCATAAAGACAGCAGTCACTTGCCTTGTTTCTGAATGAATCAGCCGTTTGAATGAATGACTAAACTCACTCATTTTGCCGCCACCTACTGGTGGTTTGGTTTCATATTTAAAAGTACCATTGTATATTTCCTAACATGTCTTATTTGTGTTTTTAAAATATATTTAAACATTAATTTTATACAATTATTTATGCATTTGAAGTTTTGCAGTGTAATGCATCTATGGCAGCTCAGCTTCATCAAACAGTCTGAGTAAATACATCTAATGCTTCAGATGCAGCTTCTGTGTTTGCGGCAGTGGAAAGATGGAGTTTGTTCAGCTCTACAGTTTTTTAATTGATTTAATGTATTGAAACAATGTAAGAATTTGATGTGAAAGATGACATACATTTAATAAGGTTAAGGAAAAAATTACTATTTATAAACAGTGGGGAATGACATCTGATTTTTGTTTGTATATGCTGTCAAATGTAGTTCTTGGAAAGAAAATCGGAATTGGCAGGTCACAAAAAAAATCGGAATAGGCCAAGAAAATTGCCATCAGTGCATCTCTAAATATCAGACATACAGTAGTTGTTACAGGTTTTTTATTCGACTGCGCTGCTTTTCCATTGTTTTTTCTATGTAACATGGACGCGTTTGACTGTTGCGATCACGTCTTTTGCATGAAACGGCAGTCTAAAAATGTGGTGCTCACGTTAAAAGAAGTTTATTCCTATCTTCTTGTATGTTTTTCCTATTCCACTGCTCGCGTCGCATCTCTGTCAACACAAAAGCGCATTCTGTGTGATATGAGCGTGTCACGCCACATTCACACTGGGTGTCAGCGTTAACGCTTGATGGAGGGCGTTTCTGAAGCTTGGTGCGTTGTTGTTGTGATCATAAACTGTATGGATGTGATTACACGCAATACACGGAGCTTTTCCCTCACCATTGTACCGCGCTGCTTTTGCAAGCCTCCGTGAAAACGTTTCAGCTTTTATTTTCCTTTTTCGCCCTGAAGAAGATATCACAGGTTCATCAAGTTCGTCTAAATTCATCCTTCATCCTATTATCCATCCTCGATCACTTTTAGTCAGCTTTGAAAAGACGTGCTAGCTGAGAGGAGTTTCGTCAAAGTGAAAGTAGCCTTGTCACCTGACCTGAATACAGCGTGCTCGCTAAAATGGACTTATCGGCTTCTGTTCAAAAACAACAAG